TTTCTGTATTAAGGGAAAAAGGGTAAAGAACCCATACAATATACCCAAACCGCAAAACTCTCACACCCACACCCATACACTACATCAGATCACAAGGAAATAGTTGCGCCCTTGAATTGTTTTCCCTTACCGTTGTAAGGTCTATCATCACACCTCCTCACATACCACCGTGCTGTTAGAGCATGTACAATGGGGTTATTTAGCAAAAAAAAAAAAAAGTTTTGTTTGCCATGTCATTTGCACCGGGTGCTTTTAAGGAGCAGAGTAATGCAATGGCTACGTAAATAACCTGAAACTTTTGTATGTGCTGACCTGGAGGGTAAAATAAATGTGGCTTGGCAGTCCTCTTGGGATCAGTCACTGCAGTAATTCTTCTATATTAGAATAACGGCCTTGTAGATGCAAAACATTAGGCCAATCTCAGATTCTCAGTTGAAGTTTCATACTTAATTATTATAGTGCCACGTCACGAAAAGTGGTGAGGTGGCGTGAAAATTAAGAGAGACATGAAACTCAATTGGCACAGTTACCTAGTCAATGAAACTCTCCTGAAATCTGCATTGAGAGTCTATAGTTTCATCCCCATGTGTTTTGCCTCATCTCATGTGTCTTGCATCTTCGTGTGCACCATACCTTTCATGATTATCATGCGCTATATGTAATTTATTTTACGTATGACCCTGTTATAAAAAGGGCAGACCCAGTGTCGGAGGCTCCCACATGAGTGGGGTCTGGGGAAGGGAAAAACCGAGGCAAGCCTTCCCCCCGCAAAATCTGCGAAAAGGCTGCTTCGAACCCACGACCTGGTGCTCTCACCACTGCACCAGGCCTGCCCTTCATATGACCCTGTTATGGGGGCAAACCCATTGCCAGAGGCTCCCACATGAGTGGGGTCTGAGGAAGGGAATAACCGAGGCAAGCCGTCCACACCCCCCCGCAAATCTGCAGAGAGGCTGCTTGGAACCCACGACCTGGTGATTCAGTGAGACAGCTCTCACCATTGCACCAGGCCTGCCCTTCCATATGACCCTGTTATATATATTTTTATTTATATCATACAAATGTTGAAGTAAATTAAACTATTTTCGTTCACATTTTTTTATGCTAGTATGTACTATATATAGTGTTGTAAGTGGCCTTATTGTTCATATGGCATATTTGATCGCAACACCATGTAACTATTTAATTCTGTGACTAGCATATGAAACCGTGAGTTGAGAGAGGGTGTTTTCATCTCAGTTTCCAAGACTGTCACGCACTGAGACTGGCTTTAGGAAAAAAGTCTATATAACCCCCTAACCTAATGCTGTTGCTCTACTCACCCCCTAACCTATATAACCCCCATGAAACTCAAATTGTAGCGCTGCATTGTTGCTATAATTGCTACTGTGATTAAATAACTGTTCCTAAACTAGTAGGGCATTTGTTCTAGACCTACATCCATCTCCATTTATCGTGTTCTGCCCTTAGGATGCGGTTTGTCTATGGCTCTATGCACCCAAAAATTTTGATCTTGGAAAAAATTGTTATGAATGTGGCTGCCTGCTAACCACCTGTTCCAATATGCTTTGCTTAATGTGCAGTGTAGCATGGTGTATTGGTCGAATCGGATATCCTCTTTGTCAAACCAGGTTTGGTTGATGCCAGCTTATGGAATTCCTTCTCTTGGTCTTCACACTGGATTTGAGTGGACTGCTTCAGAAGTTTTTACTGGAGTGCTCTTCACTCTTCAGAGATTGAATTCATAACCGTGCGTGTGTGCTCGCTCTCTTTGTTTTCTGGCGAGCGTACTGGAAAACTGGGAACCCCCTTTTGGTTTTCATGTATAGAATGTAAATGATACTGTAAAGTTTCAGTCAGCATATTGATTGTCTTGATTATAGTGCTGCAATGTGTGCTCCAAATAGGTTTGGGCATTATATTTTTGTCTCTATCCCTTTGTTTTACTATTTGTCAGTGATAGAGACTGCAATATGTGTGCTGTAGAAAATCCCACATTGGAAAAGAAACAAAAGAGTATCAATGTATTATACATTATGTATGTATAGTTGCATATTGTTGCCGATCATTCCTGCATTATCACGTAGGCTTCCTTCAGGTGCCGGCCGTTCATATGAGAAACATGCTGGCAACCCTCACAAATCATTTTTATCTGTAGAAGTTATTTTTTCCTTTTTTGCAATGGACATCAGCAAGACCATCACAATAAGAATAATTAGACAATGATATATTAAGATCATGTTTGGTAGGGCTTCTGTCCTGATTTTCAAAGATGTTTTTCAGCTTCTACGAAAAAGTCTAGTTGAAATAACTCCTCCCTAAAAGTTGTTTTTTTAGCTTCTCACCGCACAAGAACTGAGGTGAAGCTGAAAATACTTCTAGCTTTCTCTTTGTTGTCTTCCTTAAAAGCTGTTTTACCAAACTTTTTTGAAAACGACTTTAGCTTTACTGGTGAAGTTGTTTTATGGAACTGAAGAAAAAAAAATTGCTTCACCAATGAAGCTGAGCTGTAACAAACGGGCCCTAACCTTAAGGCCTTTTTGGAACACAGAAAATAGAAATTGTATAGGAATTTTATAGAAACAGTTCATTTTCGAAGTTCTACATTTCAAAGGGGGCGTAAAACAGTCCAATCAAAATGCCTAAAACAAATCCCATCAAAACACCTAAAACAATGGAAAAGGCTCTATGATAGGCTCTTAGAGCCTCTTTCAGCTCCGGCTCCTGCAGGAGCTGTACCAAATGCCTGTTTTGGAAAGGGCTCCGCATGCAGAGCTGGTCAAGAGCCGGAGTCATTTTTTGCCTGCGCAGGAGAAGCCTCAAAAACGAGCTTCGCGCGGCTCCTTGCTGTGGGTTCACGTCGTCTAGTGCGAAGGAGCCGTTTTGCCAAACGTTTTTCAGAACGGCTTCAGCTTTCAGAGGAGCCGGAGCCATTTTCAGAGGAGCCGGAGCCATGCCAAATAGGCCCTTAAAGAGAGAATGATGACATATCATGTAGCGTCCGAATAAGAGCCTTAACTTTCAATGGTAGTAACATCTAAATAACAACTGCTTAGAGAGTTTAAAAACAGAGGAGCCTGCTTTCACAGCCTTTGAGCTACAACGCTCATTGGAGCTAACTAGATATAGACGTGGAGGTGAAAGATAGCTATAATACATGCTTTGGTAGCGGCACCAAACTATTTTATGCAGGTCGAGAATAGCAAAGCATGTTGTGAGAGAAGTGATGAGGCCAGTTGCCTCAAATGAACAATCAAACTGGAGAGAGAGAGAGAGAGCGTATAAATAATCATTCTTTTTTCTCTTTGCTCTACGTCAGCTACCTACATCGTCAATTATCACTGTTGTAAAATTTTCTAGCGGTCTTAAAGTTGTCTGGAGGTGTCATTGTAACATATCTCATCTAGGTCCAAACATGTGTTTACTGGACCGTTATCCTATGTGGCATGGATTTGACAAACGAGACCCGCATGTCAGCGGCAAGACTCTACCTTAGAAAAATCGTATTTTTTTCATACGATTCTGGATGAAGTTGATTTTATATGAAAACAGTAGCTCTCGATGAGATTACAATTTTCTAGTTTTGGTTTTTTCATTTAAGATTGTTAAGATACTAAAAAAATAATATAAAATTTCAGAATCATATTAATCATGTTTTGTATCAACAAAAGTTCTTTTTCCTTTTTTTTGCAATGACATCAGCAAGACCGTCACAATGAGAATATTTAGGCAACGATATATTAACCTAAAGGGTTTCTACAAATTATATAGAAAATTTTATAAAAAGCAATTCATTTTCACAGTCTTACCTTTCAAAGGAGGCCTAAACTGTTCCGTCAAAACGCCTAAAACAATCCCATCAAAACAAATCAGGGTACTCTCTTAAAGAGAGAATGATGACATATCATGTAGCGCCTGCATAAGAGTTAACGTTTTTTTTAGCAAGGAATAAACTTCCATTAAACAGAGGTCAACACCTGATCGGTGGCCACCAAATCGTTTACAGCAGCAGGATTACAATCTGACCAGAGCTCAACAGCACCTGACCCTAACCCTAAATATGCACCCAATTTAGCTAATGCATCAGCTATTATATTACAAGACATGGGGATATATAGCACCTTCGCAGACACAAATTCAGAATACAATAAGCACTTGATGTCGCGAAAGATGATTGCATTCACCGCCATATCAAATGATGAGGAAGTAAGCGCCGAGTTAAGTTAGAAGCATCAGTCTCAATTTCCACCCTTGAATCCCAGCATCGATGGCAAATAAAATGCCCTGCAAGCTAGGCTGCAGTAGTTTCAGCTTGGAGAGCGTCATGGCAGTGGTCAATCTTACCAGCACCTGAGCCCACCGCTCCACCGTGTTCATCCCGAATAATTAATCCCCATCCATTCCACGTCCTCACAGCTGCTTAGATAGTTTAAAAAACACAAGAGTCTGCTTTAATAGCCTTTGAGCTATACAAGCACTGCTTTAATAGCCTTTGAGCTATACAAGCAAGAGTCTGCTTTAATAGCCTTTGAGCTATACAACGCGCGACGAACGTATTTCGACTAGTTTTTATTGTCAGAGCGTCCAAGTGCCTCACTCGGTCACTCCGCATCCAAAGCGTCTGCTGCTCGGTTGAGCGCCGCTTCTGTCTGTAAGCGCCTATGGCAGGCTGCTCTGACCTGATCTCCACCGTGGCAGGATATAACATGAAAAAGTGCATAATTGCCCAGGCCGATGGGGAAAAATGACATTGTTTTGGACATTGACATGATCAATTTAACCATTTATTTCTAGTACACAAATGCGCACTTACAGAAAGATCGTAAAATTTCGACGACGCATGCACGACGAACACATGCAAACCGCCTAAAAAAGCATACATAAAAAATAAAGCAAGCCATCTAGTCAACAAACAGTGCATTCCTTGCCTCAGTGAGGATCGCATCAATCACAGTGGCTTTGTTATCCAACCTCCCTCCTTTGATCAAGAGTTACCGGAATTAATGGCGCCACGAGTTCTTGAGCGGCTTCTCTAGCAATGCCGAGAGGTACATCTCCTTCCTCTCCGGTCCCTTGTCGAGCTTCCTACCTTTCACCCACCTCAGCTTGCCGAACCCGACGCTCTCTATTACATCCACGTACGCCGCCATCTCCGCCTCCCCGCAGAAGAAGTGGTCCAGCCAGAACAGGCCGCCGGGCCGGAGCACCCGGTACACGTCGAACAGCGCGAACTGCAGCGCGACGGGCGGGATCCAGCCGCTGAGCACGTGCATGGAGTGCACGATGTCCAGCGTGTTGTCGAAGAAGGGCAGCCGCGCAGCGACGCTGACGTAGAGCGGCACGATCCCGCGCGCGGCCACGAAGGTGCTGAAGGGGCCGTTGAGGTTCACGGTGGTGGCCACCACGGTGACGCCGTGCTCGCGCATGCGCACTGCGAAGGTGCCGGAGCCGCCGCCGATGTCGAGCCCGATGCGGACGGACCCCGGCGGGGACGCCGACGCGAGCACCTCGTCGATGGAGAAGTTGAGCGGGTTCCTCTTCTTGTCCGTGGCGTTGAGCCAGCGGTACCGCTCCGGGCCGCGGGCGAGGTCGAAGCAGTCCTTGCAGTCGTCGAAGCGCGGGGAGCGCGCGCGGTCGACGAGGCAGCGGAAGGACTTGCACGTGTAGGCGGACCAGTGCACGGAGCGGTCGGGCGGCGTGGACCAGAGCGCGTCCGGGAACGGCAGCGGTGGCGCCGGGTCCGGCGGCGCGGCGGGGCGGCAGCGGCGGCGCGGCAGGGGCTCGCAGCCGCGGAGGAGGAGCCGCTGCGCGGGGAGCTCGTCGTCGGGGCAGGAGGCGTTGACGGGGTACGACATGAAGGCGGCGAGCAGGTCCGGGAAGGCCAGGCACGGGTGGCCCACGGGCGGCCGCAGCTCGGCGGTGCCCCAGTTGGTGTTGAGCCCGTACGGTAGCGCGTGCGGCCCCGCGAACGCGTGGAACTCCAGCGGGAGGTCCACCGGCTGCTCCGGGACGGTGGTGGTCGTTGGAGTAGCCATTTTCGGCGGCGCCGCCGCGGCGGCCGGAGGCGTCGCGCAGGAAGAATAGTGGAAGGAGAGGAGGAACGTGGCGAGGTTGGAGCCGAGGAGCACGACGACGTAAAGGATCGCGCGGCGGAGGGGGACTCCGGTGCCGGGGTCCACGTACGACGCGGCCAACCTTGTGATGGACATGGAGCCCGAGCTTGCGAGCGCTTGGTCGGAGCGGGAGGAACAAAGGCCCAGGTGGCCGCGCGAAGATAGAGCGCCTACGACTACGACTACGAGTAGAGTAACCAAGTAGGGGAAGCGCGCACATGTCCGCATCCGCGAGAGCCGAGACCCGAAGTCCCGAGCCGGTGGGAGAAGCGGGCGAGTAACGACTACCGAGTGGTGTGTTTTCGACGCGATGTCTCGGATCCTCCCCTGTTTTGCTCGGAGTTGGAGCCCGGCTTGCTGGGATAGGAAGCAACAGGCGGAGGCCCGGAGGGCGGAGGGGCGGGTCGTCGCCTCGTCGGCCACTTCGCACTTTGTAGTGGCCCCGGTTTGCAGGCGCTACAGCTACACACACGGTAATTTCTTCACGTCGGGAAATGGCTCATAGACCTGTTCGTGGCCCACCCAACCTGATTACTTGATGTACCCAGGCCTTGTTTAGATTGCAAATTTTTGCAACCTGGACACTGTAGCATGTTTCGTTTGTATTTGACAAACTTTGTCCGATCATAGACTAACTAGGCTCAAAAGATCCATCTCGTGATTTACAACCAAACTGTGTAATTAGTTATTTTTTTTACCTTTATTTAATGCTCCATGCATACGTCCAAAAATTGATGTGATGAAAAGAGAGTGAAAAAACTTAGAATTTGGAGGTGATCTAAACAAGGCCCCAGTCTAAAAAAAAGTCTAACCCAACTTGTCAGTGGTCAAAGGTAGATTTGGATCATGATTTTTGATCCATGGTTCGAACCGACCTGAAGTACCAAAAAAAAAAATTCTGTAATTTGTCTCGAGAGCTTAACATCTGTTAAGCGTTTGGTGATTCTGTAAGCTTGTTAACGTTGTTGTGCGATTAAACCCTGTAGTTATGGCTTTGTGGCAATGAAACTCGGACGTGCCACACTCTGCAAAAAAACAAAGCTAGTGCCTTGGGAAAATGATAATGAACAAATCTTATCGCGAAGACATGCACCAGACAATAGCACACAAAAACAGAGGCAATGCGAACAATCTTGTTGAGCTGATGTGGAACACGAAGTATGAGATTTTTTTTTTTTCTGAAGGAAATGTATAAGCATGCCTTACATGACAGATCAGAACATCTTGGTTAGGTGACAGCAGATAATTTAGGATGAAGCTGAGCTATGCACAAACGGAGGTCAGAAATAAACCGTAAACACCACAAAATTGGACTAATTTGTTCCTTGAATCGACAAAACCCTTAGAAGAAGATACTATAATATTCATCTGTGCTGTACTATACTAATACTTCTGTCATATAACTCTCAGCAGCTGCAGTGCTTGCTGTACTTCATGCACCACAGCAAAATGTCTTCTCAGAGATGTTGTAACCGTAGCACCAGAATTGTGGTGCCATGTACTCAATCCACATGTTGTTTTCTTGTGAGCCGTAGATTTACATACCAATTTGCAAGGCAGCGCAGTATCAGTCCCACGATTATCTTGAATATGGCGAGCATAAAATAGGTCAGAACTGACCAAAGTAAAATCCAGAATATTCTCCAGATAAATGGGCCAGCAGGAAGGAGGGTAGCATATACCGGGGTCAATACACGAATTACCTAAAGAAACAAGGCATTTTTTCCATGTAAGTAGTCTGTACAATGTAACATGGCACTATAGAGCATGGATAGTTGGGCGTGTACTTACAACACAAGCTGGGGCAAGGGGGATGAATGTTAGGTCCTTCTTATGGTCATCAGGTTTGTCATTCAAAATCTGTAGAAATATGGTCATTAATGGTGGTTCAATGGATAATATTCAAATTCTGGGCAATCGAACTTCAATGCCACAAACTTTTGGTATGATCAACCAATCAAAGCAGGGAAACTGTGCCCCAAGGAGGACCTGGAATATATTGAAAACTAATGCTCAATGCATGTCAATCATCAGTTCAAATGGCAAGTTGACCTTTTCAGTAAATGCATCCTAACATATAAAACAAATTTGCAAACACTGGCATTAGGAGAAATATACCTAATAGAATACAGTAACACAGTAGCATCAGAGAATTCACTGACAGAATTACAGAAATCCAGTAAGCGATGCAGCAATAGTACAGCCGTCACAAAGTACATGTCACTTAACAAAATTAAACTGTTTTGTGCTTTTGTGCGTGTATGTTTTATTTTCTTTAACAGTTTAGCTTCATGATAATCAAGTACCTCTTACTTTTGATGAAGATGTTCAACTACCTAATCGTTGCTTAGTTATCCATTTTTGTATGATTGTATCAAATGGCACACATCATTAAGCCTGAAATACGGATAGAATCGAGATAAGCATCAGCGCCTCACCTGCTTGCAAAGATCTTCCAAAAAATCTGAATAAGCAACTGGCTTTATCTCATTAAATTTTGCAAGGAAGGAATGTTTGATAGCATCGATAAGTACTTCACACAAAAAAACCAATGACGCATTCTGCAGTGATAATAAACAAATTGTTTGAACGAGTTTTCGATTTGATAAAAAAAAATCTTTGCATTAGAGGTACCGAAAATGGAAGAATACTAAACTTACAGTAAGAAAGCTGTCAAACCATGGACCCTCTGCTTCCAAGATATTTTGAGCAAGAACAAATAGCAGAAAGGCCGTGATGTGAAATCGCTCAATGATGTCTGCAAGTTATAATGTTATAAGCAAATAAGCTGCATCTTCATATGAATTAATTATCAAGAATAACAGCATGTAAGATTGAACAAAGGTGAATATGAAGTTTGCTAAATTTAGAACATCATGATGGAATTTAGAGAACATATTTTGATTTTTGCCATCAAACTGCTGATTGAAGCTAGGTGTTTAGATCCTGTGTAACATAAATGGTTTTGAACCTTACATTGATAAAAATGTACAAAAAGCTGTTTGTAGATGGTTCAGTTTTTGCAAAGAAGCCTATGTAGATAAACATTAATGAAGTCCAACTCAGCATTTTTTGACATGGTTAAGGGGCTAAGATGATGAAAACAGCAAGTAGCTCAGCAAGTAAAGAACCAAAGAATAAATACAAAAGCGCATTGTTTGGAATAATATGCGCATAAATCATAAGCACACTCACCATAGTATACCAAACTATGAAGATTCTCTTTGCTAACACGCTTAAATACATTACTTTTTATCTCAGCAAAATTGTTTGATACCAGTAGAGCCAATAATGCATTGTTGTGGGCAATAATACATGTTGACAGGGTGATCGCCTGAGCTAACAAGACAAATGAATGGACAAGTACAACTTGTTAAGGAATTCAAAATTCGATGTTTATATTAAAATAGCAGCAGTAGCGATAATACAATTAAATCTACAATGTAATCAGAGCACATTGATGTCAAGCAAACCCATACCACTGTATATTCAATTGAAAATTTTGCTATTGTAATCACTAGATTCACCACCAGATTGTGTGTGACCTTTACCATTAGGCAGTCAGGTGTCCATGATCTTATCTGGTTCTAATTCAAATTGCATCTATCATTTAAAGGGAAATTAACTGATGCAAACTGCAGAAAAGGATATCAAATGCAACAACGGCTATCGCCTCGTCCAAAATGAACCGCATCAGTTCAAATGTCACATTATCTGTCGAGCATGCTGACAACCCCTCAGCTGAGTTGAACAGAACTTGCAGCACATCCTCACCGAATGATTGACAGAGTTTGTCAAAGATCTAAAACAAAATCACAGGTCAAGCACACAAATATTAATAATAAATGTATACTTCAAATAAATAGTATACTCACCTCTAGTACGTTGTATACGACATAAAGCTTGATCGTGCCCTGACCACGAATGACATGGTAAATTAAGCTAATATCTGACACAAAAAAAAGAATAATCGTGGGTGGATTATCAAATACGTAGAATGTCCGCTTGTTCAAGCAAAAAAAAAAAAAAGGGGGATAACCTATCATTTGCAAAGAAGCAACTCCAAGGGCTAGAACTACAAAACATCCATAATCTGATAAATCAGCAGCATTTGGCCTAAGAAACTTTCTGTCACAAATACATTGGATAAATGATTACATGATCTAATATGTCCACTAAAGAGGGACTGAATGGGAAAGAGTGCCTTTGTGAAAACTAAAGCTGGCAAAAACAAGTCAATGGTAGAAAAGACGCAACTACAAACATGTAGATCATCAGAACAGGAAATGATGTAAAACAGTAAATAATGTTGGTGGTTTCTTGCACTGCTAAAGTTTACTATAATAAATGCTAAGAACATCAGTATATAAGCCAATCTACCCAGTAAACTAATACTGACAATGGAGGATACCAAGCATAAACTAGACACTTGATTGGAAAAGGCAAAACAAATAATACTTTTGCCTTGTGTTGTGAAGTATTGCTTCGAAGCAGTTTATCTCTACTTATGCAATTATTCCATGGTTCATATTTCCTCTCAAAGTAAATCATGTACTGTACAAGGAGCTCAATTTCTTTCAGATAGCCACCGCTGCATTTCAAACTGAGATTATCTTAACTAGAAAGTAAGTTCCCATATGCAAGTTCTCTTAAAAAAAGTTAATATACTAAAAAGTAAATCATACTTGTAAATCCCAAATGTACTATAGCTCCCATTGTTGGGTTAGACATCCAATAGAAACTAGCTTATCAGAAAGCTATGGTCAAAGTGCATTAAGTTTTCACTACAACAGAGTACTAGGTTTATGTGATAAGATCTATGAGCAAGGTTAACTAGCTTAAGCAGAAGCTTCCCAACCAGAACCAGAACAGGTACCCTAAGACTGGCTCAACAAGTAATGTTTAGGTGCAATTATCTAAAATAAAAATTATATCACTAAGAGTTAACTTTTTTATGAACATCATATAAGACAACATCAAGCTTAATCAGAATCTACAATCATAAATCACAGAATGTCTCCGCACTGCCAATATGTTGCTAAACAACAGTTCAGTCTAAATTTGTTTCATGCAATAAATAATTAAAATACTAGAACATACTTCATTTAATTTACAGTAAAATTGCAAACCGACCTGGTCTTCAGCACCCGCCAGATGGTAATGACAATTCGTGCAGGCATAATTGTAAGCAACGACAGAAAGGAATCCAAGCAGACGAAGAATCCTGCGACAATTAGCTGCAGCATTTTACCATTATCAAACATCTCTCTCATCACACAAACAAGTGCATAATAACTCCTGAAACATGTTAAGTACACACATAACCAAGTATGAAGTTCATCACAGCACATTCTACCCTTTTTTAAGTCAATATACATTTTCGCCTATCAATACCCAAACCAGGACAACAATTCATTCATGATTGTTCAGTCAAAAGTACATGGTGAGTTATTGGTTTCATCAACATGCAAAATTAATTATTTAAAAAATGTCAAATTGTGAATAACTCTTGCATATTGGATCCATTTTCCAGCAATGCCTGACATCAAGCAAGATAATAAGCTAGAACAGCATCAATACTCGAAAGTTCAAATCACATGCATGAGGTGTACCACAAGTATTGCCATTAGAAGTGCAGATGCATACCCGCTCACATCTCCATGGGACATGAAACATAGTGTTGTACACCCGCTGTCGCTTCTTCTCATTGCCCACTGCAATTGTGCTTCTTAGTGAATTGCCACCATATAGTTCCCCAAGGAAATATCTGAATGGTGAATTGTCAAGGCGCTCAACTTCTGCAACAGCAAATGGTTTATAGAGGTGTGAATATGCATATATAGGGCTTGTTGACTCAATATACAATAGCACGCTACTAAATTAGAATTGAATTTGAATCTACCAGTGCAATGAAAATTGGTCCACTAAAATAATTATTCTGTTTTGGATCAGATCTCCCAGATTTAGTCAGATATGAAAATCCACCAAGAATGGACCAGCAATTAGTATTTCAGACTGTGACCGTCTTTCCAGCCTAATGCTCTAATTCTAGGATGCAACAAACTTCACAGGCAGCATCATGTTCTACTTTGTTCATATCACAAAAATGAAGCGAAATCGTCTAAGAAATTCCTTACAATGTGTTGTCTAGAATGAGGAGTGGTGAAAGGACCATCAAATTATCACAATAAAAAACATACAGTGAACAGTGAGATCTGAACCTCCGAGAATGTTGCTATTATCCTTCATGTACTTCTCCCAATCCAGCGACGACTCCTTCTCCAGCTTCTTCTTCATGCCCCCATTCGCCTCAGGCCGCCACGCCATGGCCGGCACATCCGCCACCGCCGCCGCCGCAGCTGCTGCGCTCTCCCGCGTGCTGCTGCCGCAGCTGCTGGTCCCATCATCCGCGGACGCCGCCAACACCCTCCCGGCCCCGGAGACGCTCCTCTGCCTCAGCTCCACGCCAACATAGGTCACGCAGCTCGCAGCAGACCTTTTGGCGTCCGAGCCCTCGCACACCGTCTCCGCAGTCGACCTCAGATCCGGGACCCTGAACGCCGCGGCCGAGTCGCCGCCGCCCTCCACGCGCGGCTGCTGCTCCCCCTCCGAGGCCGCCTCGTCGATCGGGGGGCTCCGGAACCCACGCTTGCGCTTGGACCGCCTCCTGCGCCGGCGCTGGCCATCTGAAGTGGTGTCCGGCAGGGAGCGCGGGGAGATGTCGTCCGCGTCGTCGGCGGTGAGGTCGCCCGCGAGGAGCTCGAAGGATAGCTGGCGGCCGCCGGATCGGAGCGACATGGGAAGCGGCGGCGTCGGTGGCGGGGGACGGTGCGGCGCACGGCGAGGAGGCGGCGGGAGCCCCCTCGCGAACCCTAGGATCGGGCGTCGCCGCGCCGCGCGGCGGCGAGGAGCGGAGGCGGGGGAGGAGTAACGGGCGCAGAGAAGAATACTACCCTTTTCCGGTCGCGTTTATTATGTGCTTCTAAATCGTTTTTTTTTATAATAATGTTTTTATTTAAAGGATTTCTTTGGCATTTTGAGAAGACGGTGATGAGTGATGATGACACGAGAATGGGGTCTGTCATCCTGCCATTCTGGGAAAGAGAATTTCCCAATTTCTTATTCTATAGGGTGGCTCTCGGAATTTAAAGGCCATCATTGTTTCGCTGAAATTTGACTTACGTTGATGTTAATACTAAAATGCTACGAGAGAAAAATACTGTTGGTTCATTAAAAAATACTACTAAAATAGTGCAGCAGAACAGGATCCAAATCTTTTTACCCTGCCATCTCAGGCTCACGTCGCATGTTCTTAAGAAAACCGTGTGCCCATTTTTTTTTGAAACGAAGTGCCCAGAAAATTTTATTGCCCATGCAATTGTGATTCCTATAAAATTAACCAAATCTGTTCCACTTTATAATGTGTGAATTTTACGCGTATTCCGGTGGATTAATTCTATCTATCCGGCGAAACAAACGATTCCATTTTATTGTCACAATTGCTAGCCCTTCAATCCCAAACATACACAAAAACGATAATTCCCCATGAGACATGATATATTGGAGTAGTTTAGGTTTATTAGACAACCACATTGTGCTACAACTACAAGTAACAACCTGAATTCATTCATTCGTTCTTAAAGGTATATTGCATTTGCACGACAACGGGAGAAACCTTCTTTGAATTGAAATTACAGGCACGTGTATGACTTTTCGCAAACCATTTAGTACTCCTATGTTGGCATGTTCGGTTAGTATTAAAGTCGGCTGATAAGCCGGCTGAAGTTGGTTTGTTGTGAAAAAAAAATACTGTAAATTTTAGCTGATAAGCCGGCTGATAAGTTCAAGCGAACAGGCCAGGTTTTTTTTACTCATCGAATGGAGTTTTCGTGCAAATTGATACTCCAGTACGCTGGAACCAATATATGCAAACAAACCTGTTAATGACACTGAAACCAACCAAATACAAATACAAATGGATCAAGAGACGGACGAGCAAGTTACTGTATACCAGGTAGTGCTAGAAGTTTTACAGAACATCAGGGAGACAGATGGTTGTGCGTTTGGCATCTCGATCGAGTGCTATCATGGGGTTGGCCTCATCAGCGTCGTCAGTGGGCAGCACGAGCTGCCCCCCGCCCCCGTGTTGCGATCATGGGTGCAGCACGATGGCCTGCGCTGCGTGGTGGCGTCCACTACCGACCTCCTCGTCCTCGTCGCGCCCGCGCCCCCGTGCCCGAGCGGCCCCGCCAGTGGTCCCAGCCTCGCACCCTGCGTCGCCGTGATCGCCAAGAAGGTCACGAGCGCCATGACCAGCAGCAACCTGCGCGTGTGCATCGTGGAAGACAGTCTTACCGAGATTTTTCATGGAATCATCAACACCCTGAAAAAAAAATCAGGTGACTGAAATCGTAGGCCGGGCCGGCGGAAAGGTCAAAGCTCAGTGACTGAAGCAACGGCCGGGCCCGCTCTCCACGCGCTCCAGCTCATTCCCTTATAATACGCGGCCCAACAACATAGCGCTGGGCCGACAGGCGGCGGCCACGCTGGTTAGGACCGGCCCAGTAACCTCAATAACATTGCGTTGTGGTGCGTGAGTGCGGAAGGCATCTTGACTACCCTTTTTCTCCTCCCCTTTTCTCTCGCGCTCGCAGCGGCGGCGGCTGCTTCTCCAGTTCTCCGTCTCCTGCTTCCCCGCAAGCTTGTCTCGTATTCGGCGCGCCGCCGGGGAACACTCCCGGCCTGCGCCCGAGCGGAGCGGAGTGGAGCGTTCCGTCCGCGCCTCCGAGGAGTTCATTTCACGGTGCTGTTGTCCTACTCGTCCTTTTTCCCGTCTGGCTCGACTGGCTCGTTGATTCCTGCGTCTTTCGTTGGTAAGGAACCCTATCTCCATATATTTTCTGGGTCGACTGTTTCTGAGAGTTTATTTTGTGCCTAGAGCCATCGAATCCAAATCCAATACGTCCTTCTATGATCCTTCCAGTTCGTTTCATTGTTTCGGATTTTTTTTTTTTCAACTTGATGAGTACTGAGTAACTATCTACTAGTAGCAGCTAAGTCTAGTTTACTAGTACTTTATTTTTTTGAGGTTCGGCTACTGATCAAAGCAGCTTGGAGTGATAAAAGTACTGAGGTTAGTGTCCACTGGTTCCGAGTTCCGACGGCCTGGCAGTTGAAACCGAGATATTTTGAACCATGTACATGTCGCTGTCGTCACTCGTGAGACAACTCTAGTCACTTTTGTTATGCTACTAATAATATATGGTACCAATAATATATGCAGTATATCTAGAAACATCTATGTTTGACAGCTTGCATGTGTATAGGGTGTACACAGCGTACTTGTACTAGCTGGTAAATTTGGTTCAGGGTTTAACAGTGCTGTTTACTATAGCAATTGTATTTTACAACAATTCAGAAGACAAGTTGTAGCATCACATGAATAATGGAGAGAGAGTTTCTTTTGATTAGTAGGCAGAGTTTTTGTCACTATTTGCAGTAATAATCAATGGTGTAATGTGCTTTGATGTTAACGTGTTCAGGCTAAGAGTGTCCTAGTCTTTGAAGTTTGAACTTACCTATAGAAGCACACTAACGTGGTGAGCCTGTAGAAATAGTTTTCTTTAATCATGTCTCTACATTTTTCACTTGAGGAACTGTTTTGCATGAGTTTATTAGTAGCACTACCTTCCTGACATTTGAAATGATGGCACCGTAATCTTTGGGGTCACAAATAAATTGAGGAACTTGTTCAAAAGAAATGATCTCCTGTCATGATTGTTTTATCTTCTTTGCTTCGGCATGCTCATATCTCTTGTACACTTATATCTTTGCATCCCTTCTATAATTTCACGCTTGATTCAACATAACCCTGGTTCCCAATTGATGTGCAGATCTCCCATTCTCTTTTGACAAGAAATAAAAAATAAAAATCCTTTGGTTTGGGATGGCATCACCTGGCCAAATGACGGCAAGCAGTCTGTTACGGACTGAAGGCTTTCCTGGAAATATGGTATAGAGTCTATGAAATAACACAATTTATTTTTGGCTGGCATTAGCTTGTTCTTATGTTTGTTCTCTACATAGGGAAAAAGATGCGGTTTAATTCCTGCGAGAAGTCTTGGATCAAGAAGATTGCGAATGACTCAACACTGCTTCCATCAACAGCATATTTGTTGGCCACGTCTACAAAGAGTTATGACTCGTAATATCCGATTGTCGTCATCTCCTGGGGCCGTGGCATCCAAGGGGTTTGACAGTCCATTAGTTGAGAAACCTGATACTGCGTTGGGTGTTGGAATTATTCACTTGTACCGTATACCATTTCTTCAAGAAAGTGAAACCATGGAGCTGCTCAGGAAAGTGAAGGCAAAGGTTTCTGCTAATATTGTTGATATACTGACTGAGCAGTGCTTCAACATTCAATTGGACGATCCACTCACTCCTGAGAAGCTTTCAACACTTCATTGGCTCTTAGCAGAAACTTATGAACCTGAGAAGTTGCAAACTAGGAGCTTTCTGGAGGATGAAGTATCTAGAAATTCTTGTACTGTCATTGTTGAGGTTGGTCCCCGGATGACATTTTCAACAGCATTCTCGACCAATGCTGTCTCAATTTGTAAATCTCTCTCATTAGTAGAAGTGACACGACTAGAGAGATCAAGAAGATACCTTTTGCGCCTTGAGCCTGGTAGTGATCCACTTGATGAAAGTCAGCTCAAAGAATTCGCTGCATTGGTTCATGATAGAATGACAGAGTGCATTTATCCCAACAAGCTCACATCATTTCAATCAGACGTAGTTCCTGAACCTGTCCGTGTTGTTCCAGTCATTGAAAGGGGAGAAGAAGCATTGGAAGAAATAAATGTGAAGATGGGACTTGCTTTTGACAAACAAGATATTGACTACTATACACACCTCTTCAGAGATGATATTAAACGCAATCCAACTACCGTGGAACTTTTTGATATTGCACAATCCAATAGCGAACATAGCAGACATTGGTTTTTTAATGGAAAGCTTGTAATAGACGGAGAGACCATGCCAACCACTTTGTTCCAGTTAGTGAAGAGTCCCCTGAAAGCCAACCACAATAACTCTGTCATCGGATTCAAGGATAACTCGAGTGCAATAAAAGGATTCCCAGTAAATCAGCTGCGCCCAACAATTCCGGGTTTCACTTCACCATTATCCATTATCATGCGTGAGCTAGATATTTTATTCACAGCAGAAACCCATAACTTTCCATGCGCTGTTGCACCATACCCTGGAGCTGAGACGGGTGCAGGTGGCCGTATAAGGGACACACATGCCACTGGGAAGGGTTCTTTTGTTGTTGCTTCCACTGCTGGTTACTGTGTTGGTAATCTTCGAATTGACAATTCAAATGCACCCTGGGAGGACCCTTCATTTTCTTACCCAGTGAATCTGGCCTCTCCATTGCAAATTCTTGTTGATGCTAGTGATGGTGCATCTGACTATGGGAACAAGTTCGGTGAGCCTCTAATTCAGGGATATACCAGAACATTTGGGATGAGGTTGCTAAATGGGGAGCGGCGTGAATGGTTGAAGCCTATAATGTTCAGTGGAGCTATAGGGCAAATTGATCATGCACACATATCAAAGGGTGACCCAGAAATTGGCATGCTAGTTGTGAAGATTGGTGGTCCAGCGTACAGAATTGGTATGGGCGGTGGTGCTGCCTCGAGTATGGTTAGTGGCCAGAACGATGCAGAGCTTGATTTCAACGCAGTACAGCGTGGAGATGCCGAGATGGCACAGAAATTGTATCGTGTAGTCAGGGCATGTGCAGAAATGGGACCGAGCAATCCTATCATCAGCATTCATGATCAGGGTGCAGGAGGAAATTGTAATGTTGTGAAGGAAATAATATATCCCAAGGGAGCTGAAATTGATATCCGTTCAATTGTTGTTGGTGATCATACATTGTCGGTCTTGGAGATATGGGGTGCTGAGTACCAGGAACAGGATGCACTACTTGTGAAACCTGAGAGCAGAAGCCTGTTAGAATCGCTTTGTGAGAGGGAAAGAGTTTCAATGGCTGTCATTGGGAAAATTGATGGCTGTGGAAAAATTGTGTTGATTGATAGCGCTGCTGTGGAGCATTCCAAGCTGAATGGCCTCCCTCCTCCAACCCCTGTTGAAGAACTTGAGCTTGAAAAGGTTTTAGGAGATATGCCTCAGAAGACCTTCGAGTTCAGGCGTGTTTCTCAAGTCACAGAGCCTTTAGACATTGCACCTGGGGTGACACTACTAGATGCTCTGAAGCGAGTATTAAGGCTCCCATCCGTGTGTTCAAAACGTTTCTTGACCACTAAGGTTGATAGGTGTGTGACAGGTCTTGTTGCACAACAGCAGACAGTTGGGCCTCTCCAACTCCCGCTTGCTGATGTGGCTGTGATTGCACAGACGTACACAGACCTAACAGGTGGTGCTTGCAGCATTGGAGAACAACCAATAAAGGGTTTGCTTAATCCTAAGGCCATGGCCAGACTTGCTGTTGGGGAGGCCTTGACTAATCTTGTTTGGGCTAAGGTTACATCACTTGCTGATGTCAAAGCAAGCGGGAATTGGATGTACGCTGCAAAGCTTGATGGCGAAGGTGCAGATATGTATGATGCAGCTGTTGCATTGGCTGACTGCATGATTGAACTTGGTATTGCAATAGATGGGGGAAAGGACAGTCTTTCCATGGCAGCTCAGTGTGATGGTGAAGTCGTCAAGGCTCCTGGAAATCTGGTCATCAGTACTTACGTGACATGTCCTGATATAACATTGACAGTAACCCCTGATTTGAAGCTCGGCAAGGATGGAATTCTTCTGCATATTGATCTTGCTAAAGGAAATTGCCGTCTCGGTGGTTCTGCTCTTGCACAAGCATTTGATCAAATTGGAAATGACTGCCCGGACATTGATGATGTTCTGTACTTGAAGAAGGTATTTGAGGCCATTCAGGAATTGCTCAGTGAACATCTTATTTCAGCAGGCCATGACATAAGCGATGGTGGCCTTATTGTGAGTGTTCTTGAGATGGCATTTGCTGGTAACTGTGGTTTTAAGCTCGACATAGACTTAGAAGATAGGAGCCTTATTGAAGGACTTTTTGCAGAGGAGCTTGGCCTCATTATTGAAGTACACTCGAAATATCTCAACATCGTGAAGCAAAAGCTTGAAATAGCAGGCATTTCTGCTAATGTTATTGGAGAAGTTACTAGCTTACCAGAAATAGAAGTTTTTGTTGATGGCAATCTGCATCTCAAGGAAAAAACTTCGGATCTCAGGGATCTGTGGGAGGAAACGAGCTTCCAGCTTGAGGAGTTACAACGTCTGAAATCTTGTGTCAAACTTGAGAAAGAAGGACTAAAATGCAGGACATCACCATCATGGTCTCTGTCTTTTACCCCCAAATTCACAGATGGGAAACTGTTGACTGCTTCCTCGAAACCAAAGGTTGCCATCATTCGTGAAGAAGGGAGCAATGGGGACAGGGAAATGGCTGCTGCATTCCACGCTGCTGGATTTGAACCATGGGATATTACAATGTCAGACCTCTTGGCTGGGAAGTCTTCTCTCAATGAGTTCCGAGGGATTGCGTTTGTTGGTGGTTTCAGCTATGCAGATGTGCTGGATTCAGCGAAAGGCTGGGCTGCATCAATCAGGTTTAACCAACCCCTCATTCAGCAATTCCAGGACTTCTACCACAGGCCAGACACGTTTAGCCTTGGAGTATGCAATGGTTGTCAGCTTATGGCTCTTCTTGGCTGGGTGCCAGGGTCAGGTGTTGGAGGTTCTCTTGGTACAGGTGGTGATTTGTCCCAGCCGAGGTTTATTCACAATGAATCTGGTCGTTTTGAGTGCCGGTTTACCAGTGTGTCCATTGGCGATTCTCCTGCTATTATGTTCAAAGGGATGGAAGGTTCCACCTTGGGTGTTTGGAGTGCTCATGGCGAGGGAAGAGCTTTCTTCCCAGATGAAAATGTTCTAGCTACTGTTGTGAAGTCTAATCTGGTTCCTGTGCGGTATTGTGATGATTATAACAATATTACTGAGACTTATCCCTTCAATCCTAATGGTTCTCCACTAGGTATAGCAGCCCTTTGCTCACCTGATGGGAGGCACCTGGCTATGATGCCGCATCCAGAGCGTTGCTTCATGATGTGGCAATATCCATGGTATCCTAAGGAATGGCAGGTTGAGAAGAGTGGCCCCAGCCCTTGGCTGCGAATGTTCCAGAATGCTAGAGAATGGTGCTCATAGTGCAGGTAAATCAATCTTATCAGCTGCTTTCCACTTCTGTTTGTGGCACTCGGAATTCAATTTTAGTAGAACCTTAACTACCTGTGTTTTTTTTTTGTGAAGTTGTGCACTGTTTCATTTCGACCAGAGGTTGTTATAGAACGGAGAATGTTATTAACATGTCAAGTTCCATTTAATAGAACCTTATTCTTTCCTGCCAGTATTCTGTCAAAGAAGAACCTTATTCTTTTTTAAGGCCTGGTGCAAGCAGTAGAGTCTTACCACCTGTGACCGGAAGGTCCCGGGTTCGAGTCGCGGTCTCCTCGCATTGCACAGGCGAGGGTAAGGCTTGCCACTGACACCCTTCCCTAGACCCCGCACAGAGCGGGAGCTCTCTGCACTGGGTACGCCCTTTTATTCTGTCAAAGAAGAACCTTATTCTTTTTTAAGTACACTTTTTGAACCTTTGGATGCTGTAGAGAAGCCGTGTATTGGATGGAACTATTCAAATAGATTCGGTGACCCAGTTAGCCTGGCCGTCAGACAGTTACAAGTTAGCAAAACCATAAATTAGTTCAAAATGCCTAATACACTTAAGCTTTTATTATAACTTAACTTGGCTACTTTGTGTATGATTTTAAAGCTTATTTGCACTTACTGAGCACTTTATGCTCTGGTATCGAAATGTTTTGTTGCATCTGTTGTACTATGACCTTTCTTGCTCGTTTCCAGTGTTCTGTTAGGTGCATCTTCCCATATCATGCTTACTAGTTCATTTTTTCCAAACATTATGATTTTGCAGGGCAGCTTCCTGCTGCAAGGATGTAGTCACCGAGGCACCAGCTGTTACGAGTATATGGATAATTGGTGGTTGTATTGCCCCATTTGATGACCCCTTTTTGGCAGAATAAATGTGTTTTGGCCATCAAATACATTATCTTGTAATAAATGTATCAGAATTGAAATTTTGAAAATGGAGAACTGTCTGGTTTTCACTAGTCGGAAGGCCCCAGATCTGATTCCATATACTGGTTCAGTGACACGGTGAATACCCCATCCGTGGTCCGTGGATCAGCATGTCATCCCTTGCCCTTTTTGCTTTCAATAAGATTAAATTTAATCTTACTTGTCCAGTGCCTTCGATTTCGTGCACTTGCTATAACCAACCCTTTCAAATTGTCTGGCAGGCAGCATACAAACACGCCCCATTCACCGAGGTACCGGCTATCAGGGCGCCCACAATATGCTTAAAAAGTTAGCCTTAAACAATAAATGCAGAACCTTTCTAGACAACAAATATTGTAGAGCACACTTGAGAAAAATTTACCTTACTGGTTGTGTGGCCCCATTTCCATTTGACGATTCTCTTCTGATGGAATAAATGTGTTTGAACATCAATACATTATTCTTGTAATAAATGTATTGAATTTAAAATTTTGAAATTGAGAACTGCCTGGTTTTCGCTAGTGGGTGAGGGCCCAGATCTTTAGTCCATATCCTGATGATGGTGCCCGCGCCAGTGGGGACTGCCTCCGTCTTCCCGCGCCTGACACCAAGATAAGACAGCAAAAATATGAGGAGGGAGATGCAACACTCGATCTAGTTTTGAAACATCTATGTGCAACAATTGCAACATATGATCGGAAACAAATAAAATATTTGAAAAATACTTCTGAAACACTTAAAAAAACACCTAAAATACACCTGAAACCATTGTAAAAACATACGCAACATCATAATAAAAACACTTGCATCATATGTGTGAAAACATATACAATATCCTAATAAACACACTTGCAACATTCGTCGAAAAAAAAACAGATGAAACATTGAGAACAGGAGATTGCAACATATGTGTACAACTATTGCAACATGTGCAACATCCCGATCTACTTTTGCAACATCCGTATAAAACACCTGCAACATACCTCTAAAACATTTGAAACAGACGCTTGCAATATGTTTTCACCCTTCTTCCATAAGACGCAGCGCAAGGCGGGGGATGGCCGGTTTCGGCCAACCCGTAGCCGAGGATGGTGGCGCGGCCTAGCAGCAGCCAGTTGCGCCAACGCCTGGCCTGGGCCTGGCCAACGACGGAGCCCCTCTCCTGGGCACGGCGAAGGACGGAGCATGGCGGGTGCGGCAGGGGATGGAGGCGTTGCTGCACTCGCCGAGCACGCTCATGGAGCTTGGAGACGGAGGGCGAGGCGTCGCTGACTGGGTCCGACGGTAGCTGCAGTCGATGGGGTGGCTGGCAGCGTACCTTACGCGGAGGATTCCTCATCTCTGCGGGGGACGGAGGTGCTGCGGGGATGGGGCACCGCGGGGGGTGGTGGGTGGCGGCGGCGCGCCGGAGTGGATGGTGGGGCGGGATGGAGGCAGAACCACGACGGATTGGGACGGTCGGACGGCTGCACGGCGCCGTGAAGCCGCGACGCACGAGTGTGGAATGGGGAGAGGAGCTTCCATGATGATTTGATTTTTTTTAAGGTGAGCCGCGCGAACGGGGCGAGACGTCCGGCTTTTCAGACGTCTTAATGGTAGCATTATCGTTAAATTTACTCTTACTCGTCCTCGGGTGCCTTTGATGTGCACTCGCTACTGATTTCCCAAGCAACGTGGAGAATGCTTATCGTGCTATGTCAATGTATCGATGCTTCTGCGCGGTCAAGCACCACCAGAACCATCTTGGTATGCATGTTGATAACATATCTGACGCGAGATAAGTGAGCTACCCATTCTGGTAGAAGCTTCGAACAGCTCAAAAGAGCCCTGCAGCGTCTCACTGTTGCAACGAGAGCAGTATGCCCGAAGGCCCATAAACAGAGGTGGATTATGAGCCAGCTGCATGTTTTTCAAGTTTTCTTTAAAATTAACATAATCTTATCTATCAGTCTCACGAGCCAACTTCATTTTTTTTTATCTTTCTTTGAAATTGACACTCTTATTTATCATGATCTCCTAAATTAGAGAGAACTTCAAAGCGAGCTTAATGAGCTGCAATCACTTAAAATCAACTTTTTTTTAAAAAAAAAACGAGTTCAGAAAAAAAAAACGTTTTTTCAACCAACCACCGAGCCAGCTCAACGAACTTAGTCCAGCCCAGCCCATAAACTACACAATCGATTTGGCATCAAGCTCACCGTTGCTAGGTTTCTAGTAGCACTACAAATACAGCACCCATTGAATCGATTTTGATAAACCAAGGAGTGATGAGAGAGAACAGGACCATCAAGGCGTCAATTTTACTGGAACTTGCAGATATGAGTGCTCTGCTTTAGTTTCGAACTTACATAGACCATTTAGATGTCATCAGCATCCTATGACATTTTTTTGCAAGACTGCAGCCTGCGCCATACATGTATTCCCAAAGGCCACTACACTACTACCAACTAGTTTGCAGCTCCTTCGGCATCCAATGAGGCAATTACTAGTCTTCGTCCTCGATGGGCTCAAAGTCCCTGACCTTCACATCTGCATCTTCCCCGTACTGGATACAGGTGTCGATATACGACAGCACATATTGTATGCTGCAGAAACAGGGCCATTCAGGGATATGACTATATGAGAACAGAACAAACTCAAATATAGCATGATAAAAGAATTGAAATTTTGCATATCCACAAATACCATGTCAAAAGAAATATAACAGCCAGCAAGGAAGATCGAATCAGTGATACCAATTCATTTCAAGCTAGCTAAAGTCCCCTTCCTTTTCATTAAAATAACGCATATCCTGTTACGGTCTTTCATAAAGTTGCCAGATTTAGACTTCTTTTTATTCCCAGGGCAAGATCTAGGGTCAAATCAAGCATGATATTGTAATAGCAGCAGAATACACAATAGTAACACATTAGTGGTGCCTAGTGTGCTACACTGCTACTGCATCAGAAATGAGGTGTCAAGATGGAAGTACGTCTTCCAGGTTAAATGTGGTATATGAAATGTGCACTTGTAGGCATAATAGCAGAGTACTATGCCAAGGGATCTAGTGACAAAAGGCTACATCGATCATAGTATAGTTTACAGGAGTTTTGCACAATACACTAAGAACCATAAACTTAACCATGTAATAGATATTGTTAACATTACAAAAAACAGTTTTACCTGCTTTCCTTTCTCAAATCAAGTGGTATGAAATTAACCATGCTGTAATCATCAACCTACATGATGGAATTGAGATTAATATCGCAGGTTGAGAGCACCAAAACAAGGTACTGTAAAAATATTAAACATGACGCTGAAGAAAGTGAGACAAGTAGAATATTGACTTAGTTCACAAATGTACAAAAGAAACAAGAATATAGCACGTTAGTATATACAAAATAATTAAACAAGCATGCAAATGAATACATCTGCTTGTTTGTAAAACTTTATATCAATGTTTCTGAGCTTGTGGCCAAGCACAAAGAAACTGAACTACTTCAAATGGCTAATGCAATACACTTTCAGACAATCATAACTCATGAGGCATCCACTGGAACGCATATGGACTCAGTAAAAGTAAAGCATTCAAATATAGTATATATTACTATTTACTAGATTAAAAAATTAAACTGGTAGAAATCCATGTGAAAATACAGCACAATCTGAATTTTCTAAGATATCCCCAGATTTGGCAGTGTTTGCAATCAGAGCATTCCACAGATTTGATCTACTCCAGAAGACCTCACCACAGCCAAGAATCGGTAATAGAATACTTCCACTTCCCATCCCATCCATAAATAAACAAAACAAAGGTGACCTGCCCGTGGTCCATTGGACAACAAGTTACATGCACCATAGAACTCAAATATTAAATGTTCAAACACACTAAAGCTGTTGTAACTGTATCTGGCTTATAAGACGTAAGCACCAAGGAAGACGATCTGTTCCATGGCAGTACCACATTGAAGGAACATTAGGCTCAAGCTATACTTTTAGCATATCTTAACTTGGCTATCAATTTATATCCAAAGGACAAATTTAAATGCACAAATCCAACAATTGGGGTGCACGGCATCACTAAAGAAAGGGCGTAC